TGTCACCTTTTGCCCTTTTTTTTTTTTTTTTTTTGGTTAAGCAAAATTGTTAGTGAAATATAAGTAGACCGTCTTACAAAGGATGCAACGGAATGTCTGAACAGTGGGATCCTGCGTGTGGTGTTCTAATATGCTGTGGTTTTCCTAAATGATTTGATAGGTTTTGAAATTGTTCCAGTGGCAGGAGTTGCGGGGCTTTGTATTTTGTATGTTTATTAGTAGGCTAAATTCTTTTGCTGCATTCTGTTACAGAAGCTACAGAAGCATTTGTGTTGACAAAGCTCCCAATCTGTCCTGGTGTTAATACAAAGACTCTCTAGAAGCGATGATCCCATGAATTGTAATTGTGTCTGGGTTGGCTGTAAACATTCAGCCTTTGTCCTCAGGCCTCCGTACATACTAGGTGTGATGTCATCTCAGCATGTCATGTCTTACTGAGCAATTGCATTAGCTTTCCAAGCTGTACAGCATGCATTAACCTGTGAAAGCTGCCCAAATCTAAGCATTGTAGCCTTTGCCCCTTGTGATGAATTTTTGCTCTTACTTGTAGAGAGCAGGGAAATGTCATGTTACAGTGGTTACATGAAAGATCTCAAACACTTAATATGGGTGATACCTGTGCAGCTAAGCTAGCTTATACAAAATCACTGTACATCAGCTGCGTAGTGAAAGGTTTTTTTAGCCACTGAGAATTAATAGTAAAATAACTGCTATTCTAGGGTTCCTCTCACGAAATGTTGTCTTCATATTTGGGAAGCTTGTGTTCCTTACATGCCATAACTCAAATCCATCTCTTCTCTCTATAGGATGCAGATATGGAAGAAAAGGCTGACTTAATTCTCTCAACAGTTAGCTTATGTGAAGTTTAGTTGTTTGACCTTACAAACCACAAGCTTAGTTTTTCATTGCATGCTATGGTGTTACAAACTCATGAGCTTGTTTGTATCTCAAGATCAGAATGTTTGAAGTTTGTTATGTGAATTCAGTATTTCAAAATATAGTGACTCATATCCGCGTGAAACTCAGCTGTTCCAAAAATATGGATTACTTACAGATCTAGAGAAACTTAGTGCCATTTATGTTTTTAAGTTAAACGAACATATTTATTGGTAAGTCTGAAGAACTAAAAAGTGTTGCAACAAAAATGGAAGTTTGATGAACTTGTATTTTAATATTAAGCATCTGTTGTGAAAAAGTTGGAATATGCAATTAAATATCCATATTCCAGAAGTCTAAAATTTGAAATCTTTTCTGATACAGATGAGTGAATATGCTCACACAGCGTTTAAGAAAAGCCTTTCTGATAAATGCATTGTTCCCATTCATGTTTCAAAAGCTAAAGCAGACTGAAAATTTGATTTAATCATTTTTAAGGTACAGTAATTCATATGTGCTATACAGTAATAATGCAGGCAGTATCAAATCCTAGTATGTTTTCTCACATACAGCAGGACTTGCTTTCAGTGCAAAAACTTGAATGAGTTGGAATGAGAGCAAAGAACGAGGAAGGACTGCCATTCAGTGTGGAAGGCATCAGTACATTCAAGTAGCCCCTGTAATGTATTTAAACACATAGTGGGATTGCTAGATCATCAAATCTGCACTATCAGTCATGTCCCTGTCTGACGAAAGATTTGCTGCAAGTTTTTTGGGGGAGATTTTTGTATAGGCCCCCCAGACTGGGATAGATACTGATTGTAACCAACAGCTGTCCTACTATGGGTTTGTTGGCATCAGTACATTCAAGTAGCCCCTGTAATGTATTTAAACACATAGTGGGATTGCTAGATCATCAAATCTGCACTATCAGTCATGTCCCTGTCTGACGAAAGATTTGCTGCAAGTTTTTTGGGGGAGATTTTTGTATAGGCCCCCCAGACTGGGATAGATACTGATTGTAACCAACAGCTGTCCTACTATGGGTTTGTTCGTTAAATCCTTCTGGTGGAGAAAGGAGGAACAAAATTGTCAGAAAAGACGACTATAGACAGTGAAGTGTTGAGCTTCATTCTGTAAGCAGTCTTCAGATTCCAGATATGGTTTAGAAGAGTGGACTGACAGATGTTTATCTTCTATAAATCATTGCAATTAATAGACTTGCTTAGACCTGGACTAACATAATTAACAAATGCTTGATTAAAAAAACCCAAAAAACAAAAACACCTGTTAGGAGAATGTGCGTACACAGTCCAAATGTTGACTGTGTCTGGATAATATTTTTATTCTAATGAGTCTGAGGATTTTAAGAAGCAGATGGCTCAATGAATCTTGGAAGGGATTTTGCTTGTTCTTTGTATTTTCTGATGGCAATATTGGTGTAATCTAAAGTCACGGTAGTAGTGTTTACCCTAGTGCCTTTCTCTTAACTTAATGAGCTGGCCAGAGAAGTTCAGGTCTCAAAAATAGCTGGTTCAAACAAGTCTTCAGGCAGTGGGGCCACAGTTAGCAGAGTCTCCCTTCTGATGTTCCCCACTGTGCATAAAGATCCAGTGTGCAGTATGAAATCTTGAGGTAAGAATATTGCACTACTGCAGAAGATTTTACAGGTAGGTTGCATGTTATTAAAAATGAGTGAGATGCTATCAGTTCAAAACCTGGAGTATCTTTAATGAAGTATAGCTCCTAAAAATAAATAGTTTGGGAACGCAGTGGGAGCTGGGAATTTAACCTTGTTTCTCCAGCAGTGATAGTGGTTAGTCTTTCAAGAGTGTCTTAAGTGAAACTGAGGAGAAAATACACTTTTCCAAGGTACTCTATTTGGTAAAGGAAGAAAGTGATTAAACCACACATAACTACCCATCTGTTTGCCTTCCTTAGCCTTAAAATCTTTGCAAGCTGAGCACTAGACTTTCCTGACAGACATTTGAGATGTTAGGCCTTAGTTAATCACGAACAGGTATTCTAAGGTCTCTGCTTTGTGTATGGTATGCTTCAAAGTGAAGCTGAAAGATGTAAACAGTTTGTCTTTTCATAAAGATACTAGGAATATAATGTATTCTTCTAAGGTATTTTTAGCTGTGATTTAAAAAAAAAAGTAAACTGGGGGGGGAATTGAGCTTGTTTAAAAATAAGTTTATGCAAAGGCTTCAGTTTACAGGTGGGAATTTTAGACCTCTGAAGCTAGAACTTCCCTGGAGTATGCTGCCAAGTGGGAGCTCTGCTGTGATAGACCGTTTTGTCAAAGCTGATGTCCTTTATCTAATCACATAGATAGATTGTGATCACATAGATAAAAGAATGAGGTTCAGCACTTCAGCTAGAAGGTCAGTTTGGAAGTAAGCTTCGTATTGTTAAAAGCCAATTCTAATGTGCTGGTATTTTTCTCCAGTTTTCAAATGGATAGTGTTCTGCATTCTAATAAACCCAGTATCTTTGAAATGACAGAAGTTAGTTTAAGTTAGGAAGGTCTGGGTTTTTCTTTTGGGACTTGCACTTTGAGAGCTTGCTAAGGCTAAGTTTGTTTGGGAATCACTAAAGGCCAGACAGTAACACTGACAGACAGGTATGATGTCTTCCTTCTGTGAAACTTCTTACTGCTGTCTTGAAAACTATAAAGCAAAAAATATACAATGCAATCAAGAAAGAGTGTAAAGTTGTAAGCATAGTGCACATTTTGGAGTCACTTATTAGAGTAGCAGTAGGAATTTTGACTAAGTGTTGAAGAATGAAGCATGATTTGTTGTCTCTGGAATGAGAAATATGGAATTTTTCCTTTTAAACTGCAGTGAGGGAAACGAATGAAAATTCCCTCGTACTATTTTGTAAGACCTGGGGATATGAAGATAATATCTGCGTGATAAAACTGAGGTTCAGCAATTTGTCCTCAGCTACCAGAATTTAATTGAATGGGTGAGAAGTGGAGAAGGCCTTAAATAACTCAAACAAAACAAAAAAAAAATCCAAACACGTCAATGATATGAAGGGACACTTACTGTTGAGTTGGAAGCTACATGGTTTGTTCCATCCTCACAATGTTACCAAACCTGTGTTAGGAAAAAAACAGGGGTTGCTTTTTGAAACATCTAAACAAGAGGCAAAGGACTTCTGTTTACCTTTCCATAGCAAGGGTCTTTCCAGCACCTTTTGAAGGGCTGCATGTTGTGGCAGCTTAGTGACAGAAAAATCACTTGTCATGGATTGTATGAGCGGTTGTGGGCCACATCTGTTCCATATGTTGTATGTGCCCTAACCATGGCTTGTTCTGGAAAATTGAGTACACTTCTAATCCTGTCAACCCGTTTGATCTCACTGTCACTAGGATGTGTTTTGGCACCTGCCTAACAACTGTAGGATTCTATTGATGGAAGAAAGTTATTTTGTAAGCTTTCTTGATAGGGTTGTATGCAATCTGTTGTTTGAGACATCTTTCAACAGTGGAAAGTCCTCTGAGCCTTGATGGTACAAAGATAAAATTGCAGATTTTTGGCATTGTGATCTGCCCATTAACTTGTCCTCCAAGACAGGAGGTTTGAGCTATGTTGTTTCAGTCTGAGGGGCAGTGCTAGAACAGTTTGAATAATCCTGTTTGAGGAGGAAATCTGAAGACTCCAGGTTTTGTTGCTTTCATAGATTATTCCAAATTAAAGCTGTATTTTTATGAAAAATCAGCATCGATATAGTTTTATTCTTTGACATGTACTACTTGTGACTCCATTTTTTGGTAATAATCGCCTGTACTGCATTTCTAAACTTCTCCCTCCTGCTCCACCTGCCTCCAGGGTTTTAAACTTTTCAGCACTGTTTCTTATGTATGTCCATCATCTGATCAAGATGAAAATAGGATGAAATACTAGAAGAACCAGTTGGCTGGATTTCTTTCAAATTCTCTTGCGTTGCCTAAAAATGCTGTGTTAAAAGCTTCTATGTTACCTGACTTAGAGTAAGATAAAAGGTGATAATACTGTGTTGTGAAATTTTTGGGGTGAATGAGTTTTAAAAGTTTTATGGTTTTTTTTTGTTTATTTATTTGTTGGGTCTTTTGTGTTGTTGTTTTTTAACAGGAGTCTTACCCCTCTTCATCACCAATATGGTTTGTAGAATCAGATGACCCAAACCTGACTTCAGTCTTAGAGCGTTTAGAAGATATTAAGAAGAGCAATACGCTGGTGAGCAAGTGTTTTGGTTGTTTTGGGTGTTTATTTGGTTTTGGGTGTTTATTTAGCTTTGTCACATTAACAGGCAATTAAAGTAGTTCAGTTTTGGGGTTATTTGGGGGGGGTTTGTAAACACAAGTTTCTCTTCCAAAAACATATGAACCAAAAGTAATCCAAAAGATTTGGGGCAAGGAGGAGAAGATGACTTAAAAGCTTGCTCTTTAAAAGAAGTTAAGTTTCAGCCCAAATAATTACACAGTTTAAGGTTTTCTGAAAACAATTAAACAGTGAAATGCATGAGAACTTAAAACTACGGAATAAAACAGGTCTTCTAGTGTTTTCTTTGCACAGAGATCAATTACAGAGGCAAAAGCTTTGTGTTCTTGAGAATGTATATTCTTGAGAATATACAATATTCGTGTTGTGTACATATACAACCAAAACATGGCTGTAATGGTAACTAATACAAAGAATTCCTGGTTTCAGTAAAGAAGACTTGATCTGATAGCTTCTGGTTCATCAGAATGTTCCTTAGATAGTGATAAGTTTGAACAGTGTTGTGACTTTGGACAGTTGCTATTTAAAGAAAATCTTTGCACAGATTCTAATGGTAGGTTTGTATTTCGGAAAAATACCAGGCATTATATTTTACTTGAGTACCCTTTTGATGTAGTGATAGGAGCTGTGTGTGTATATATATCAAAAAATTAACTTCCCATTCTGTGCAGGAAAGTAAGTGTCCCTGAATATTACTTGGAGAAAAAATTCAGCACAAATGTACTTTGCTCTGTGAAGAGCAGTATTGCAGCCTACTGACAAATTCAGTGATTAAAAGTGTTGTTTTTCCTCTCCAAATTCAGCTTTATGGATATTAAATAGCCCTTAGGGATGATCTTTATTACCAGATTATTTTAAATTTTTTGTTTGTTTTTGTGTACAGGAATGCATGCATGCACGTGATGCGTACAAACCAAATCAGTCTGCAGAATACTGCTTCTTGCATGGGTTATGTGCTGGCCTTAGTATTTGCCTGGTTTTGGAAAAGTTGGGAATGTTCTTTCTCATGAAATCACTTACCTGTAATGTTTACTGGGATAATATTAGTCAAGCATACTTGACCTTAAATAAGGATGTGTAAATTTCTTTTTCTGAAGAATATTTAGAATGCATTTGACTTCTAGCAGAAATAATTAGAAAACTAACAAGCAAGTGAGAGTCTTCATATGCCTTGCCGTAATTAAAAACAAAGGAGCATTGCAGAGGAACATTAGCGTTTTAATGTATTGTGTTGGATGTGATTACAGGAGACATACATATCAGTTGTGTATTTTCTTCTTACAACCTAAACTTTAGACTAAACTACATTTAGAGGAATGTTATAGATTTATTAGTCTTTGACTTCTGCCTAGAAAGACATATGACGGTGTAGTACCAGAAGATGTGGCCAAATGAACTTTTTTCTTGAATACACTTCTCAGAAGGTTCTCTAGCTTGAAGCTGGTGTGGCTAGTAGCTTCAGACAAAAGGTTTTAAACAAGATATTTCCTATGTTTAACTACCTACAGGTTTGCTTGCAATAGGGTAGAAAGCTTTATTGCAAACATGTATAGGACTTGCTGTGCTGAATTGCATATGCACATAGACTGCTTATGTACATTGTAAGAAAACAGCTTCTGATGTCAAGATTGTACTTGCCCATGTAAAAGCTGATGGGTTGATGTAATAGACACCTGTGGATGGCCCATTGGTTTCTCAGGAATCCATCCCACATCATGTGAAGCCAAGATGAAGACAGATGGGAGTGGTTGAAGAGACAAATACTTACACTACAAAATCTGACTACTTTGGTTTGCTCAAAAGGCTTGGCTTTGTGAGTTTTGGGTTTGTTTTTTCTCCCTACAACTTTTCCCCTTGCAGCTACCTCCCTCCCCTTCAAGGGCGTTGGAGCAACTCACACACAGACTTCTTGGAGTAGGGTAGGAAGGGATAAGGAACTACCTGTAGAAATTCAGAGGCTTCTGATTTATCATGCTTTCTCCTAAAAACTCACTTAGTTCAATTTAGACTTTTAGAATGTTTCAAACCAGTTTTCATTTAATTTATTGCAGCTAAAGGATCGCTTGTGCCATGTTGCTCTAAACTCATAAAGCTATTGCAACAGTCAAATTTTGAATGGGAAATTGCATTGGACTCTTCCAGGAGCTCAACTGAGCACAGCGAACATGTGCTAAAAGCACTGCTAGCACATGTACCCTGATTTAGAGTTCTTTGGTATTACTCTGCCCTTTCTACCTGCTTTGTAACTTTTGACAGGTATCAACTGTTTGGGAAACTGAAGAACGTGCTCTTCAGGCATAAAAGTTTGATGGGGCTATATATATGGAAGCCTTGTCATTTGACATGGTGAAAGGAGAACTGTTTTACCTATGTTAAAATCATGCACACATTTTCTGGAAAATCTTCTGTGGGTCTGAAACTCTGTGTTCACCTTGGCATCAGCATGGTGCTTTTTGCTATGAAAATTCCTCAAAACACTAAAAATGTTGAAAGGTTGTTAAGAACATGATCAGCATAGATAGCATTAGGTTTGGAGGCTTTAGCTGCTTGACTGTTCATACTGAACAAACTCCAGTCAGCAGATGAAGGAGCTACAGAATTCTTTCTGACCCCTCGTGTCTCCTGAATTCCCTTTCAGACCCTGAAAATCAGCATTGCATTAGACTCGGTAGGTAGCTGAAACTGACAGCCTCCTTCTAGTGGTTGTGCAATGCAAAAGAGAAATCCTACTTCCATTTCGTCGTTCTGTTTAGTATAATGGAAGTTATAGTTGCAAGTCTAAAGTCTCAAACCTTACTTCATGGGTTATTAAATACAATTATACATGATTTGGAGGTTTGCTTTTTAAAGACAGTAGTGAAATGAACTTAAATTCAGATGGCAGCTTTAATTTTCACACTCTCCAAAGCTTGAGGGCTTAAACTTGCATGGAAGGCTTCAAAAGTGTAGAATTCCTGACATAAGTATGTGTACAACTTTGATAAGCTGCTGTCCCTAAGCACACTACTTCTGTATTAAGAATTTAGATTTAGTCCCACATGATGGCACTTCAGGAAGGAATGTTGGCTCCTACAAACTACCAACACAGCAGCAACTAATTATGTATTGGGGATCATAGAGACAAAATGCAAGAAGAAGCTTTGCTTTACTTTCTGAAACTGCCCGAGGATGCTGAATGTGTGTGAGTTACTGTCACAGACTACCTGATAGCTAGTAGTGGCCACACTCCAAATGACAGTTAGTTCTTCCCTCTGTTTCCTCTTCAGCAGTTTCCTTCAGTGGCAGGCTAAGATTTATTGACTGATTTATTTATTTTTATATAGATAGAGTGTGTGCATATATATGTATGTAGATACGTGTGTATACTTACACTATACTTCTTCAGTCCGTGTTTCTTGGTAACTGGAAAACAAGGTGCTTCATAGTGAACCCAGCAGTATATTGATATTATTTAAAGGTATCCTAAAATTGTTAATGCTTTTATATGGCATTAGAAAGATCTTTTCATGCATAAAAAGGCCTTCTAATGTAGGATAGGTTTCAGAAAAATTGTTTTTTTTAAACTGTTTTCAGATTTGTAAGATGTTAACACAGGAAACAAAAAATTATAAGAGGTGTTTTTGTGTTCTAAACCAGCATTATGGTGTCCATAAGAACTACCAACTTCTCAGAACTCCTGAAGCATTAAAAGTTATGTTCTAGATGTATATATTATATTTTAATATCTTGTTATTTTTATATTACTTATAATCAATATCATTAATTTATAAATTTGTCATTGTATTTGGTCACTTGAGCATTTACCTTGGCAGGCTATTTACATTGCTCCTTTAATACCCTATGGATTATGCATTCTAGTTGCTGTTTAGTTTCTGCTTTAGGCAGTTTGTATCCCAGGGAAACTATTGGTGTACTGATAGCCCACTTTTCTTCAGTGGCAGCAAAGCGTGTGTGTTAAGCATTCATTTTACATTAGCCAGGCATGTGAAGTTAGCTTGGAAATACATTTAAATTATTAATACATGGCAGAAATCTGCTATCCCTTTTGATACAGTCTATTCCTGTACCATTAACATATACCAAATCATGCTAGGCCCTGCTTAGAGCAGGGGGTTGGATCAGATGACTTCCAGACGTGCCTTTCAGCCCAAATTATCCTATGATTTTTTCATACATATGAGCAGAGCATAAGGGATAATGGTGATGGTGATCCATGGCAGAAGGATCAAGGGTATGAAATGAATTCCTGTGGAGGAAAAACATAGCAATAAGGAAGAAGGGCTGTAAAAATGGGATCAGCTTCTCGCTCTGCCACCACCTTTGCAGATTGTAGAAACTGACGTCAAGTAAAACAACTTAGCTATAAAAATGAAACTGCAGTTTGACAGTTGCATTAAGCTAACCCTGAAGTGTAGACTGCTGCCAAGGAAAAGGGGATCCCTGCTCTCAGCTGCACATTCCTGCCTCCCCCTGTATGGTGAAATTGGTGCTTCTGTGCTGAAGCACATCAGGAACTGATCTGCCTTGAAGCTTGCAAGCTGCTGCATGGTTGTGTGGTCTCTGGTGCCAGAGCAAATGAGAAGGTGAAAATGTGCTGCTGGAGGCAGGGAAACACCTCTTCAGGCACAGCCACTGTGTAATTTGGTCCAGGTTGTGCCAGCAGTTTGTTGCTTTGAGAGTGCTTGTGTAGCTACCTCACAGTCGTGCTGTGTTCAGAAGGAAGTGAGAGAAGCTTACAGTGTGTTAGGTCCTGTCTGCAAAAATTCCTTCTGAATTTCAGTTCAGGTGACAGGACTTCTCATGAAGAGGATGGGGAGTGGAGGAAGCAGGGCAGGAAGCAGTTCTTAACTCTCTTCCCAGCCCTTACTGTCTCTTTCTGTAGAGACACATCTAATATTGTGTTCAACTGCTTTTCCAGGCTTTGGACCAGCCACATGCCGGTGGTAGTATTCTTCCCCCACCATTTAGATTTTTTGTATGCTTCACAACAGATGTAAACAAATTAATGGCTTGCCTAGCTTTACATAGCTACATGAGGAAAAATTACAATTCCTGAAATTTTATGGTTTATGCTCCAGCTCTCCATGAGGCAGTGTTTGTGCAGAGAAAAATTTTCTCAACAAAATGTGTAGCAGTGCAACTTTTAAGCATCTTACACATACTGAGAATAATAGTTCTAAGACCTGTGGTTCTATTTACCAACTAATTTTTTGATTGATTAACCTGCTTTCCGCCTGCTAAAAGATTTCCTGATGTTCCAGGCACCCAGGAAGTTTCAAACAGGTGTAGAGTCTTAACACTGATGAGAAATGTGATTGTTGCAGAAAGCTTCTGGCAACATAAACTATCACATCTCATGTATACACTCACAAGAAATGTGTTGCTGATAGACCAGTTCTTTTGGTGTCATCTGCTTTGGTTTCGAGTTAAGGATGACTGTCGTGAATGACGCAGAAACAGCAAACGTGGTGTGATAGGAGGGAACGTCATAATTCTTGTAATGCGGGCTGGTATGTCAGTTCACGGCCTCCGATGAATAAGTAACATTCCTATTAAACAGGAATGTTGAATTCTGCTGGAGAAGGGAAAAGCAGTGAAGCTTTCAGATAGCAGAAGGGCAACATTTGCTTATCGTTGCTAGTGATTTGGGCTTGGAAATGAGTTCTTAACCCTGGAGAGGCTGAATTTTCACTTGCAGTGGGGTAAGGTAAGAGCATTTAAACTGGCCAATAGCAAGGCTTTAGACACGTAGAATATTTTGGAGTGACTAGATTTTTCTTAGATACCTTAATTTATCATATGTTCTAAGAAATACAGTATACAAACACCAAATAGTGTTGTAGAGGTATCATTCTTTCAGGATCATACAGTCTATGCTGTACCTTGGGTGAGGCCACATTGCCTGAGTCTCCCTCTTTTATGGAGAGATACTTCAAGGGGAGTGGGGGTTGCCACTCTAAGCATAACTACTAGTTACTAGCTGAAGGATATGTGTGCAGAAATGGCTGTCTTGCACTCTGCCTTCTACAAGTGGCAAGACAAAAACTCCCTTTGGTATCTGGAAGAAAAGTCCATAAATGGATGTATAATTTCTGCAAGCTTCATCTAGGGTATTATTCTGCAAATAATGAAACGTTGACCATTTTGCAAACATATTCTGAAGTCCTTTCTTCCCCCCCCCATCCCCGACATAGCTATGCAAAGACCTTGAAAAGTTACGAAATGCAGTAGTACAGTCTTTTATGGTCTTCGCCTTAACTGGGAATCTGAGGCTGCCTAGAGAAAGTTAACAGCTATGGAAATCCACTTAATTAGCATCGTGATCAAGAAGCAAACTTAATGTTTCTCTGTTTCTGCAGAACTAAATTTATTTTCTGGATAGCATTACAGTGAGTGAAAGGTGTTCCATGGTTTGCAATTAACAGAACACAGTCAATGTAACGCTGAAAGCTGGAAACATAAATCAGTGATCAGATATCAGATTGTGCCTCAACCTGATACAAGATATGGCAAGCAGACTACTTGGGCTGTAGCTCAGAGGTTGGCTAGTTTCTATGCCTTGTACAGTGTTTGTCTTGCTTCTAGTGCCTCATTGGTGTGCCCTAGAAAGGGATTCAGGATGTGGAAAATCAGACTGTTCCTCCTGTTTTTTTGAAGACATGGATCTTTAACCTAGGAAACGAATGGACCGTCTTGTCTCATGGAGTATGACCATTTGATTATTCCCTAGTGATTTGTGGCTGAGACACCTATGCCTGGAATGGATGATGCTGCCAGAGCAGATTATTCTTTTGCTCGTGACTTTCTTGACTTGACATGAGGAGATGAATGGGAGCCATCTTTAACTTGCCATGTCCTTGGTTTCCCATTTTGGGGATTTTATTACAATGACCACAGAGAAAAAGAGGGGTCTTTTAACTTTATTCTAGCGCGTGCAGACTTAAATGCTGTACACTGACTGAAAGTTCAGTACCAACAGGTGAAAAAATTCAAAATATATTGTCCTGTGCTTTGGTTTAAATAGATGTTTCCATGTTTTCTTTTTTTATAGCTTCTGCAACAGCTGAAGAGATTAATATGTGACCTCTGCAGATTATATAATCTTCCTCAGCATCCAGATGTTGAAATGTTAGATCAGCCATTACCAGCTGGACAGGTAAATTAAAAAGCTGTGGACACCTCCTTATGGCAATGAAGGAGTTGTTTCTTCAATTCCAGGAAACAAGATGGTGGGAACGATTAAACCTTGTGTAAGCCAGAACTGAGATATGGAGCACTGTTGCTTTATGGTGTCCTCAATCTGAATTTTGTTTGTAGAATCCATTTAATAATGGTGTGATAATATTACACAATCTCCTTTGGAGTTTCTGTATCATTGAAAGGTGTGTATGTGATACCAGTGCTGGCAGTTTAATTCCCTCCTAAATACTGTTCGAGCCAATCGCTGTGCATTCCTAGTGCTTCCCAAATTTACTTTTTTCCAAAACGTAAATGTGGTTAAACACTATTTGCTTTTTCTTGAAGAGTATATGTTTTACAGTATGCACTTGGATGAACTACTATTGATGTTTTCCTTCCTCTTTAATCCCTTGCAGAGACATGGGATATCAAGACCGTATGCTACTTTGGGTAGGGAGTATCTGAGGTGCCTTGTTTACTTTTTGGGCTCTTGACAAATTAAGAGTTGTGATGGGCTGTGAAATGTTCTGGTTAACTAAAATATTTTGTATTGTGCTGAAAGCAGAACTGGTAACTGACAGTAACTGTTCTTTTTTGTATTTTTAATAAGATTATGATATCTTCTTTTGCTTATACATGTTAAGATGGCATGATTTCTAAAAACTCCTGTAGCATAACAGATGGTTTTCCTGTGGTGACAGTACTGTAAAAATGACAAATAACTTGCTTAATTTTGGTCATGTGCCAAGTTGTAATCCTATAGGTCTTTTCTCTCAACCACCCACACAGCAGTGCAACTGTAAAGCAATAGACCTGTAATATTAGGAAGTAGCTTTGTTGAAGAGTCTTGCTTATGCTCTGAAACTCAAAAACAAATTCATGGAAGGTTTCTTAGCCAGAAATGTCAGATAATTTGCAAGTTAAATAAGAGTGGCCTTAGTAAGTCAGACCAAAGATCCATCTGGTCCCCTGCATTGTCTACAGCAGTGGCATTCCTTCTTTGCCAAAGGAGGAGTAAGCAGAGGACAAGCATATCAGAATGCTCCTGAATATTTCTGCAGCTCAAACTGCAAGCTCAAACCTGAGCTTGAAGTGGTATCCTGAATTGGAAAACCATGAAAAATCAACTCAATGTATTGCTTTGATATTATATCAAATAATCTAATAACAGTGGCTATATGATGATAGTAGTTGTTGCATAGAAGTTCTAGGTAGTGAGACAAAAATCCATTAAGTTTTAGAGGTGTAAAGTTTGGGGTTTCTTTTCTTTTTAGAGGTGTAGCATGTATATGGATTCTAATCAGAGCCATGATCTGATTTCCTGGTTAAGAGATCATGAGTTATAATCCACTTGGCTTGTTTATTGCATTTGTCACTGTCTCAGAATAGGATATCCTTATCTGAATCTTAAGTTTCCACTTCGAACTTAATGTGAAATTAATTGTGATATTCTGTTTATCTTTGCTTTATGCAAAAATCTCTTCACTGTCATACTTGAGGAAAGCACCTTTGTGTATCTTTCACATTAAACTTCAGTCCTTTGCAGACCTTGCTAAGTGTAACTTTCATATATACTGATTTCTCTTTGATAGTAAACTTCCTGTTTTTGAAAGAAAGGAACATATGCACAATTTATGCAGAAACCTCATTGTTGTATTGCAGAATGGAACAACAGAAGAAGTTACATCAGAGGAGGAGGAAGAAGAAGATATGGGTGAAGTATGTGTATATATGAGATTGTTATCCTCATCTAGTAGAATTCTGGCGTTTTGCTGTGCAATGGCTGGCTAACTATTAAGCCAAACTGTAAAATGTAATCTCCCTAGAGTTCAACAGAAAAGATAATTGAAAATTAAGACGTTTACCTTAATGTCAGCTTTTACTTCAACCACCAAAACTAGTGAAATTTTCTTCTTAAACCTAGATCTCAGCTGTCAGGTACTTGGATACAGAGGATTGGACATCTGTTTGTGCTTTAGTCAAACAATATGTAACATTGTGTGCCAAATCAGTAAGTTTGCATAATTAACTCCTGTTTCAAGCAGCATATGAACTGCCTCTGATACAGTAGAAAGTGCCTCCCAAATTGAAGCAGACTGACTAAGAGTAAATCAGTTTGCTGATTTATTAAACAGGCGAGCTAGCTTTTAACTATAATACATTGAAGGAAATGGAAGGACATCTGAAACAGACATGCTAAACTTTAAGGGGTTTATGTCGTTGTCTGGCAGCACGGTGCTCCTTTTAATGAGCTTTTTACTGTGTGAGAACCACCCCTTTCAATTACTTCTACAACATGTTAGAATAGCTCCAAGATGCTTGCTTTTTAAACCACTATAAATAGCTTTGTTATAGGAGAACTGTTCTGACTACTTCAGATTTAGATTTTTAATGAAGAAGGTGTGTAGTAAGAATGAACAACTCATTCTTTGAATAGAAGATCTTCCTTTAGAAAAGACCTAAATGTAATCCATGTTCTGGAATTAATTTGAAGCAGCCTCTCTTACACCATATTTAGCCTGATCCAGACTGCATTTGTTGGAGCCAGAGTTTCTGTAAAGGTAGTATATACACTCCCATATCCTGCTGCCACAAAGCTCTTTTTGCTTGCAGACTTGTAAGTAGCCTTTTGTACTCTGTTCGGGTTACTTTAGGCAAAAAAATTGTCATGTGTGTCATTATTTATAAGCTGTCAGGTGGCATTTTGTGGCACTGATATCTTCAACTTGTAATCTAGTCCAATTTCTAAATTGAAAAGCGGCTTAGGGTTCCTAAGGCTATATCGTTATTTTGAGAAACATGAACATTTTAAAGAATACTTAGTGTAAAATCTGTTACAGTTTGAGGAAACAGTGTTGTCAAAGGCACCAGATAGGTGTGTTTCTTACTATGTAAGACATCTGTGAATTTGCACTTACGGCCAGGTTTTCCTGCCATGCAACAGATGGTGCATAAAGAGTAGCCACAGGTGTGATGGAGCACTGTGTATTGCAGCATATCTGATAGTTGTTTACTCATAGCTTGCTGGTGTGGCTGCTGTAGTGCTTCCTTTTTCATCTCAAGGTATTTATATCCTTCCCCTCCTCTCCACAAATAGCACTTGAATCACCTTACAGGCAGTTGTCTTAAATTCAGAGTGCTCATCTGCAACAGGATAACCCCATCTCAGAATACAGAGTGGAAGATTTTTCAGTGTCTTAGTCTAGAACTCAGAACTTAAATGTTGGCTCGTGTGATCAGGATACTTGACCACGTAATTTTGTCTCATATCCTCATGCTGCATCTAATCTTCAGCTGAAATGTTCACCTTGAATAAAGTACATGTAGCTTTCTAATATTTAACTTTCTTGAAGGATTGCTGTAGCCCTGCCAGATATGTTAATCATTGTTTGCCAGAAGTGTAATATAGCTGGGATTCTAATTGAAAAAAGAGTCTGCTTTTAGAAACATCTTGGAGACGCCCTGACTTTGGGTACTTTTGGATTCTCAAGCCCTGTTCAAAATGCTTTAACTTCCTGTTTTCCACCTACTTTAATGGGCTAATTCACTACAATCTTAAATTCTCACAGAGGTTTTATTGTGCTTGTTTTGGTGACCAGAATTCTGTTGTGAATTTGGGTCTCGTATGGTGAAGGCTCCCTACGCTTCCAGTGAATACTGTTGCCTGAGAGGGTGAAGTTAGAGCAAAATAGAAATGGCATCCAACAGTCACTAATACATAGTGTTGTGCAGTATGTGACTGTATCCCTAAATGCCCTTGGAGAGGGTTTCTTTGAACAAAGAGCATAGTTAAGTTATTTACAGTGAATTTTCCTCTATCCTGTAGGACATTGAAGATCTGGATCACTATGATATGAAGGAGGAGGAACCAGTTGATGGGAAGAAATCTGAGGATGAAGGCATTGAAAAAGAGAACCTTGCAATCTTAGAAAAAATCAGAAAAAATCAAAGGCAAGATCACTTAAATGTGAGTTAATGATTTGTGTTTTTTCTTTGCAATACTTCTGACTTTAAAATAGAAATGGTTTTCAGCAAATAAAGCCTACTGCTATGCACCTAGACATAAATTAACCTGTAGCTGACTTCCAGCATACATAGGACAAATGTCTCAAGTTATGGGACCTAAATAGCTCTTTCTGGAGAAGTTTGAATAGGCCAGCTAAAATTCCCAAGGTCGTTTAGTAAATGGACTCATCTTTCATCAAAATCTTTGGCACAGGAAGTTAGTTGTCAGTCCACATCCCACAGAGGCACAAAAACTACTTCAAAGCACTCTCATTCAGCCTGGAAGAATGCTATCATAATTTCTTTTGTCAAACTGGGTTGGGGTATTCTTGGCATTTTGGATGAAGAAGTATCTTTTAGCTTTTCACTAGAGTCAACTCTTAGATGTAAATCCAGGTTTCACACTTGTTAATATTTAACTGGTTGTCTGATTTCCAGAGGTATCTATTTGGTTGTCCCTCTGTCTCTTGCTTGATGCCTTTGTTATGAACAATAGTCCTCCTTGTAGAATCAGCAGAAAGCATCTAGGTTGTAAGCATGACCGTCGTGGTTTAACCCCAGCCAGCAATGAAGCACCACACAGCTGCTCGCTCACTCCCACCCGGTGGGATGGGGGAGAGAATTAGAAGGGTAAAAGTGAGAAAACTCGTGGGTTGAAATAAAGACAGTTTAATAGGTAAAGCAAAGCCACGCACACAAGCGAAGCAAACCAAGGAATTCATCCACCACTTCCCATGGGCAGGCAAGTGTTCAGCCATCTCCAGGAAAGCAGGGCTCCATCACACGTAACGGTGACTTGGGAAGACAAACACCATCACTCCCAACGTCCCCCCCTTCCTCCTTCTTCCCCGAGCTTTATGTACTGAGCATGACGTCACATGGTGTGGAATCTCCCTTTGGTCAGTTGGGGTCAGCTGTCCTGGCTAAACCAGCACAATGGCTTTTGTTGCTGAGCCCTTATTAAAATAACAAATAAAGCCATATATAAAACTGACTGAATTAAAAGCCATGGGTGACTTAACATACTTAGTAAACCCAGGAATTTGTGCTTTAAATCCATTTTATGCATGAGCTTGTTTTTCAGTAATATCTATTTTACTTGGAAATTACTGAAGGTTTGGGTTTTTTTTTTTTTGCCAGACATAAAGCAAGGGGCCTTCAGACGCTCTTCAGCTTTATTATCACAGTTTTCTGAGTGATCCTGCCAGCAGGCAGTTGTAAAGAAACCTGCTTGTTCTCCAGAGGCTTAGAAACATTTTGTCACAAGTGCAGAGTTCCAGAGAAGCTTCTACTTTTCAAAGGTGCATGTAGGAGGGAATGATGATGTCATACAACCTTAATGTTTTTTAGCCTGGCTTCCAAAGAAATCAAAACTTTTGTTTCACAGAGGCTTAAAATATCTAATGTATGAAATTCAGTACTTCGTTCGTGACCAATTTCAGGCAAAGGTAGGGGTTCTAAAATTTTCATAAGTCACCTGTACAGAAAGAAGGTGCTTAAATTGGTGCCCTCTACTGTGTGAGCTCATAAGTTTTTATATGCTGTTTGGCAAGTCAGTAGACACGTAGATCATGTCCAGACACAAGATGTACTATTTCTCATTAAGCTAATAGTCGAGGATGTGAGCAGTAGTTAGGTACAGGGGAGGAACCTGTAAGTATTTAGGGAAGGAATAAGATTTAGGATTGGTATTAAAGGAACACCTGGATTTTTGCCCAAGGAACCAGCTTTGTTCTAGTTCTTATACTTGATGATTTTTCCAGTAAATATTTTCTAAAAAGCTTAAATTGCACTTAAAAATTATATTGGATTCAAGAGAACTGCTGTTGTAAACCTCTTTTGATTTGTAACGAGAACTATATACATTCAAAGTGCTCAGTGCTAGCCAAGCCAATCCACTTTTAATATTGGATGCACTCCTGATAGATCTAGTTATCATAAGAATTTAGGGAAAAGGCTCCTTTAGTTAGCAGAATCTTGACTATTCTTGTCATGAATTACTGGCCCTAAGTAACTTAAGTTTTTTTTCTAAACTACTTCCTCTTAGTTACTGACACTTTAGCATGGGAAAGAGATTCAGTTTGTAGCCATCTGCTTTGCAAAGGAAATAAAATAGAAGCACGTTTATCGGAGTTCTTCAACTACAAGTCTTCTGCTCCTGTCCCAGTGCTGTTCTAATATGACTTGAATGCAAACCTGTCAAAAATACCTTAGACTTAATTCTGCTGAAATAGGCAGTGTGAGATAGCTGGCTAGAGGAGACTGCTCTTTGATTTGTGTATGAATTCAATAGTTACCTATCAGGTTGTCTGAAGGAAAGCGTATGGTAATGATCACTCCTTCCAAAAAAACCCCCAACCAACACCCCCCACCAACCAAAACCAAACCAACCAACCAACCAAACCAACCCCAAAACCTGATCAGCATTTCAGTATTTAAAAGCAGGTAAACAAAAGGTGCCAAACTGCTTTTGCTGTATAGTCAAGTCTGTTTTAAGACTTGCCTAACCATAAACACAATGATTACTTACTGGTTTTGTTTAAACTTAACTGTTTGTTCAGAGTTTGACAAGATGCCTGTTGAGATTCTGTGTATTTCTGTATTTATAACTCGGACCTAACGGTAAAGACTCCTTAACTGTTAAATAAAATAAATCCTCTTGCAGCCTGAAAGGCATGGTCTGCTTTACCGTCATCTAAAAATTTGGTAGAACTGAAAAAAAGGTTTTTGTAGTGTCAACATTCTTCCTTGGTGTGGAAAGCCTCTTAAAACTGCAGATTTTCTTTTGCTATCTGTTCTTTCCCATTTGGCAAATATTGCCTTTCTTTTTGCTTTTCCTTCCACATCTAGTGGAGCTGAAGTGAACACTACTGTTTTTTTGTTTGACAACAGCAGATTCAACTTACATAATAGCTGTTTCTCATGCCAAGACACTCTCGGTGATGCTGGTGCATAAACAAGGTCAGCTGAGTACAGGGAACAGGGTATTCAACTGCTGCTGAGGAACCGTGGTATTTTTGTGGGTCACCAGGAATAGCTGCGCTGCTTAAATAATTTCTCAAAGGACTTGTGAGGGTTTACTCTTAAGTGCTTGAGAACTGAAAACTATAGCTGCACTACTGACCTAGGAAAGAGCTAACCTGGTAGCACTTAAAGGCCCCTTTATGCTGCCAAAACAGGGGACTTTTAATAGAACATGTTAAACGTGCTCTAAGATAGCAGAATTTTGCTCAGTATCCTAAGATAAAGTAAAATTTAAATCTGTACAGCCCTTCACAGTGGGTTTTCTTAAAGGACAGTGTGAGTTTCACAAACTTAAATGTTATGGCTAAATATAGTCAGGTTTTCACACAAAGTATGCAGCTCTTTTGGTATACTTTGTTTCCTCAGCAGAGGAAAGTAAAACAAAGCCATGCCGTTTACATGCTTGTTGTTGGAAGAGGGAACGTGAAGCCTAATGTAGGGCTTTGATTAGTGCCCAATGCAACCAGAAGAATTTTCAGTTTCTTTACATGTTCTTTGGCCCAAATCCACGGGTCATCCTCTCTCTCCCCTTGGCTGAAATGCAGGTTGAAGTTACGGATCATGCTGAAGGTTTTTCCATAGGAAAGGAGTGCATGCAGTCCCGTTCTCGCATATTGTTAACAGGTTAAAGACATTTTTCTGCTGCTCAAGACTTTTGTCATAGGAGTTTTTAGGGTTTGTGTGTTTTATACAAGTTAAGAATATGTATCTACTAATTTTGTAAACTAGTTCTCTTCCTTGGCAGTATCCCTAATCCTATTCTTCTTGCCGGCATCAGGAAATAAACTTAAATTTGGTTTGCGGTACAGTATGTAACTTGGAGCAAGAATTAATCCTCCTCTTAACATTGTAATAACTTTAAAGAACCACTTGCTTACTGGGAATAAAAAGGGTTTTTGAACTGGAATCATTAACTTCAAATATTTAACAACTTGCTGCTGCTTGCTTTTGAGAGGTCTCTCCCTACATAGTCATTTTACAGATTAATGCTTTTCGTATTTAGATAACACTATTAGCTTTTTCCATTTCCTACTGAGGAGTTTATGCACTTTCCTTTAGAAGTCTCAAATGTCTCCACTTTCATCTTCAGATTTTATGAAGTCTAAGGTGTCATTTGCATTTTCACTCTAATCCTTAAGGTTAAGTATGAATTTACTTTAACTTCCAGGAATGAATGTACTTCGGCACAAATACTGGGAATGTTCAGTGACAATAGAGCAAACTTGTATTCTTTAGCTCTTTTTGGGTCACTTCAGATTTTATTTTATTATCTTGGAGGAGTTTCCAATTTTTTGTGTTTTGTTTTAGCAGGTAATTTTTAGTCTTGTGGCTGAATTATCTGAAACGTATTATGAGTGAGGTAATTTACTGTACTGTTTTGATGTGTGATGGTATTTTTCTGATCAGACAGAAACCAGACAATCCAGTCTATGGATTTAAAACTGCAGTGAACTGCACCTCCTACCTCAGATGACTCATTTAAGGAGCGGACTGTGGTTGTGTTTGAGGGATGGAAGGGGAAAAGAAAATATCCAAAGGAGAAAAGCTAAGGCTGCAAAAACCTCATGTCTCTGGAGACGTAGTGCAGCAGACAGCTACAGCAGTGGCATGTGCTGTGCTGATTTCTGCATGGTTAGGTGTGCCCTACTGACTTGCGAATGCAGAAGTTCTGATGTCCTAGTTTTCTTAGAAGTTGCTTAACTGTTCTATAAAGTATTTTACTCAAATTTATACATTCACACTAAAATACTAATTAAGGATAGAAACACTTCTGAAAAATATAATGCCTATACTGACTTGGACCAAAGTTTCACGTTTCTGACAGTGGCAGAAGCACATCCTTCAGGGGAAGAGTTTGAGAACAGGACAAGCTTGTAGTGATGTGTCTCATGAATATTTTTCATGTCCAACAGTTTTGGCTGTAGGAATTCCTGTACCAGGTGTTTCTGTTATTTGCAGCTCTCAGCAAATGGCATGTTGTCCATGTAAATGTTTACCTCCTGTAGCAGGGATTTCTCCAGCTTAACTGCTCATTGTTCTGGAGAACCACAAGCATGCGTGTACGGGAGAGGTTGATCAAGTGAGACTTTTTGTGCCTATTCGATTACTTAACAGGAAAAAAGTCACTTGGGGCTTGTCTGGCAGCTCTTTTAACTTCTCCAGTTTACAGATCAAATGCCTGTGCCTTTCGGCTCTTGGCATCAACCCCACGTGACAGATACCTGTCAGATCCCATGGTTTACCAGTTATTTCTAAGGCAGTTGCGACTATAAGTCTTGATCTCACAACTGGAAAAATGGGAGCTTTATCTCCCTTGGAGTGGTAAGTCCCACTTTTCCAGAAGGATACTCAGTTATTTATATCTGGAATTCAGTCTTTGAAATTATAACTTGCATATAGTGAGTTATTGAAAGTTAAAGTTTTTAATTTTAGTACCATTATAGTCAAAACTGAACTCGCTGCTGTACTATATCACACAATGGTGTGATGCAAGTAGTACTCTCTTCTAAACTGCACTTTAACAGTAGTTATGTAACACAAAAGTGACACCAGAATGAAGACTTCGTGTTTCAAAGCAGTGGTGTTTGGCACTAAGGTTACCATCAGGTATAGCAGTTAATCTCTGCAGCCTTCCTCGTCAACTTCTTCCAAGGGTAGTTCAGAGCATGTAAAGTAAGCTCCTGTACTAAACTTCGTAGGTTAGGCTTGCTAGCCTCTTTCTCTTGATCATAGATTACTGGTTTGCAGTCTATTGATTCTTTAGACTAGCTATATTTAATACTGCTATATAAGGAGTGGGCAGCCCAACTAGAAACTCCTAGGAAGACAGGGTGAAAAACACTGTTGTAGACAAAGTCTACTGGGGCTAGCTTACACACACTAAAATTAACCTTTTTTTTTTTTTAAATACCACTTCAGTTTATCAGCAGTTATAATGGCACTCAGGAGTATGTGGGTGTGTTAAGTTTTGTTTTTTAAATTGGTACAGTACAGAAGATACTTAAATTTTCATATGTAAAGGTGAGCTTTCAACATTATATACAGAAATTCAGTAGCTTAATTTGATGGAAATAAAGATGCAATGAGGACACTAGTTTTCCGCAGGATGTCTTTGAGAATCTAAGTTGGTTTTAAATTGCCTGTATTTATTGGTTGATTTTCTGTGAAAAATGTAAGAAAATTCCTTCTTTCAGTAAGCACTACAGTAGATGAGGCAAGGATATTGCGCAGCTCTGCACAGAAGAGAGCCAAAATCTTGACACTTCTCTATGGAGTTTCTTTCCTCCGGACTCAACACATTCATGAGTCTCAACCTTAACACTCACAGTAGAGGTCTGAAAAAGCACAGCAATTTTACAGAGAGTGGTGGTTAACACTGTGTTGTGTTAACTTGTTAAGTGCAATGCTTCCTTTTTCAGCTAGTCTGCAAATAGTGGGTATAAATAGCAGTAATCTGCAAATAACATTAACAACCATTTTTTTTCCATAAAACTTCATTTGCTTGCTGTTAAAGGAAGAGAAATCCCTTCTTTGTTTGATACTGCTCTATAGATAGGGGCTTCAGTAAACTGAGAAATGACTTGTCTGGAGCCCTGTCTTTATGTAGCTTTTGTTTAATCAGATGAAAGGAAGTTGCCTTTCATTTGTGTATTTAATTACAAAGTTCATTCTTCATACCGGTCAGTTAAGAAAAACTAGTGGAATTTCAGTAATCTACATAATTAAATCCAGTGGAATATGAAAATGAATAGCCTAAAAGAATACTCTACAGATTATAGTGTGAAGCTAAGCATATTATATGATGCTACTGAACAGATAAGACAAAGGAGTATGTGGAGGCTTTAGCATCAAGTAACTATTACTGATATTTAATCCTTATTAAGAATTAATTTGATCCTACGGTTAAGACCTTGTAGAATGTATAATATCACTGTTGACTTCAGGCAAACAGGGATGACGTTTCAGGTATTAGACAATGGTCATAGCTGCTTCAGATTCCTCCAGAAATACTTCTCTGACACTTCTGTGCAAAAAGGATCTGTTTGTAGATGTTCATAGTGTCTGAAAGGAAACTGAAGAAACAAATCTCTTCGAATTTTTAGATGGAGTAGAAAAACAGACCCATAAACTAATCATTCAGTACTTCATATAGAGAGGCTGAACCTAACTTTATTCTATGTGGGGGCTTTTTTTGTGTTTGGTGATGGGTTTTTTCTTTTTTTTTTTCCTCCTGAAAGCACGCTTATGAGCCACATGTATTAGCCTGTATTTCAGTGGGAGTGACTGAAGTCCAAGCAGCAGCAGAGAACTGCATGGGTCTCATGAAATAATCTACCTTTGGGAAACTGACTGCCGGCGAAAGCCAAAGTTTCACAGGGTTGGGGATCAAGGTGATAGCTACCTTACCTCGTTTAGAGTCCTCATTCCTTTTCCATATTTTAAATCTTGTAGCACTAATTTTTATACCTCTGTTTTCCAAAAATTTTGAATGTAAAATGGTATTTCGGGTGGAATATAGAAGCAGTGTAATCATGTAACATTTAAGGTTTAGTATCAAAATCTTTCCTGCTAGCTTTGGCACTGAATTGGAGAAAGTAATCTAGGTACTTTTGGTGATCATGTTATTCTAAAAAGCACTTTAATTTTGTAAGAGGAAAAACTCTGTCTGTGAGTTCTGTCTCACTTGAAAGCTCAGAAAATTGAGGCAAAAGTTAATACCAAGGTCATAGAACTGTCAGCGTTGGGGATGTGTGCAGAATGTATCAACAACTGCTGCACTGGATGTAAGTAGACATCAGTTACTTGACAACTAGTGTGTTCATTAGTTTGTCAATAACTGGTGGTTTCTAGAGCCAGTCATATTTATATGCGTGTCACTTAAAGGTCTCTTTTTTGTGTGGTTTTTTTTGCCTTAGCACTGTATCTCAGGCTGAAATATCAGGTTCAGAAATTGTATGCTAAGTTTTCTATCACTTTGGGATGCTGAGTAATACAGAACTGAGCTCTAAAAGAACAGGAGAGATTTCTGCCCTGGGTGCATAAACCACTCACAACAAAATATTTTGTATTTTAAGGTTTACTTACCTTAGTCTTCCTCTGTGTAGGTGCTGATTTTTTCACTCTATTGCAAATAATAGTGTTGCTTTTGTTTTGCGTATTGTAAGTATTTTGGTTGGTCTTACTTCATCCAGAAGCTGGTGTTCTCTATAGTCAATGCTTCCCAACTCCTGTACCTTTTTTCATAACCAAATAAAAATATACTTCTGAGAAAACAGCAAAACCTTATGTGCAGAAGCTTGTTCTTAGGATTAGTCTTAACTCTTCCTTCCAGTGCATAAGAGCAGAAGGTAAAAGGAAATATCTCCCTATTAGAAATGTACTGTGGATCCATCTTGGAAATCAAATGCCGAAGAGATTAAACTCTTATACAGAAAAATGTCTGTTGTACCTTGATTAAAAGTTTGTATCACCTATACCATGTAGTAGTATATATTAATGTGCTGCTTTAGAGGGAGTGTCTTGTTTCTTTTGAGTAATCTTCGCTCACTAGAATATGTAACTTTTAAAAAACCTAATCCTAATACAGAAATTAATATATTCTTAATACCTTCTAGTTAGTGTAACTTTGTAATGGAAATAAAGCTGTTTGATGTAAGTATTACTTTTCACTTATTTGGAGTCTTTTTTGTTTGTTTCAGGGTGCAGTCTCTGGGTCAGTTCAGGCTTCAGATCGACTTATGAAAGAACTCAGGGATATATATAGATCACAGAGTTATAAAACAGGTAAAATGCTTCAGATTTCCCTTCTTAAAACATACTTTAAAAGAATTCTCTTGACAACTACTTCCTGCTAATCCTTCTGTGTTTTGTTGTCATACGTATGTATATACGTGTGTGTGTATGTGTATATATGTGTGCACGTATATATAAAAATACATAGATACATACATTATATATAATCTCATTATATAAAACGGTGTATTTGTGGAGAAAGAGGAAGTCGGGATACATATCCTCTAAAACGTTCTTCCTTTGTGTTATGCAAAGCTTCATACGAGAATTAGCAGGATTGGTGTAACTCTGAGAATGCTCTTGGGGTGGATGATTACAAAGATTAACTCAAGATTACTCCTGTGGGACTTCTTGAGTTTTCAGAACTACCTGAAATTCAGCTCTCCAGGTATATAGGGCAAAAGCTTTGACCACTACCAGTGGGTAATACTGCTCACAAGAATATGCTTGCTGTAGAGGGATTTGTGTTCAACAGCAGAAGGTTTTGTTATTATACAGGATTTAACCGTAATTACACTGCTGTTACTTTTATTATTTTGTGATGGTGTTAATCTGATCCTGAGCTCTGTGTATCCCTTGGAATGAAGATACAAATGGCAATAGAAAACAAGCTTGTCTCTTAAATTTGTTTGAATAACAAACACTGATTAGCTTTAGATAGGTGGGTGGTTGACTGTTCCGTTTGCTCCATGTAAGGGCTGTATCTAAAATAGCTCAGCAAAGGAATCAGTATATTGAATTGTCTGAGTGTTCTCATACAAGAAGTAGAAATTACATAGATTTCAGGCAAGTTGTATTCCTGTAGGTCAGCTGAGTAGACAACTCCATCACTGCAGCCAGGTATGAGAACCTGGTGCAGGCCAGGATGGGAACAGGAGGAATGCACTATTAGAAAGTCAGTCTAAACTTTAATCCTCTATCTTTTACTTTTCTGAACTTCTCCCCTCGTTTATTTCTCGTGGGCTTAAATCTCACTTGGTGGCTATGGCATTTTAATTTGTGTTAAAAGGACAGAGTTGAAGAGGCAATAGGCTCCTGTTTTGATTTGCCATATTTGCCTTTTAGGTAAATAGTTTTACGTGCTGAAGTACTGTGGACAGTGGTAAAAGGTCTGAAGTATAAATTTGATTAGGTAACCTAGTGTTGATCTAATGTAGCCTACTTCTTTTAGGCTTTATTGCAACTGAGTGCTTGCCAGTATGTCCTAATCACCATCTATCCAGTAAAGAACAGATTAGTGGGTCTAAGGAAGAGCCTAGAAATAGATCTGTATTAAGTCACGAGGGATGCTTTACTGCCCATGTATGATCTTCAGGGTTTGTTTTTGTGGTTAGAACAAAGATTGGATATAACAAATCTGCTTGACTATAAAGACTGTATGGTGCTTAATCACATAGTGGTACTGCTGGAGGCACAACCAGGAGCCCCTATAATAGGTGTAGTTTGAGGTGAGGATTTGGGTTGCTTAATAATGCCATTTCTTGGCTTTAGATTAATAATGAGTCTTAACCAGTTGCAAAAGACTGAACTCCTGATGTAGGAAAGTGTACTCTAAATGATGAGGAAAAGTAAATCTTGCTAAACTGTAAAGAAAGTTGAGATGCTAAAGGGTGAGTGTAGTAACTTAGTATTAGCTTATGACTCAGGAATATGTAAAAAGACTGCAACTGGATGCCTCGTCTCGATCTCTAAAACATGTTAATGAAGTAAAGTGTCAAGTGGAGGTTGACGCTATAAAACTGATGGCAATCCTGCTTTGAAACACCATCCTACTGATACATTTATTAAATTTTGCCAGTAAATGATGCTGTTTGTAATAAAACTTACATAGATTCCTTCCTTATGGCTTTATTTAGTCTTAGGACTTGAGTGAATTTAAGTATCGGTTCGTCTCCCTTGCACAAAACTCGTGCTTTTACAGCCTAGTTCTGTCTTTTGTTGTTAGATAACTGTCACCATGTGAGCAGGGGCATGGTAGATAATTGACACTTTTTTTTTTAATGTGATCTTTGTTCTGAGTGGTCCATTGCTCCATGGTCCATTTTTCACTTAATTTAATTTCTTGCTATTAACACACAAAGGGAACCATTGTGAAACTTAAAGGTTCTGGTAACTGTTGCAAGGTAATTTAACACTGTTTTCTTCCTTTGTAATATAAGCCAGAAAATCTAAGGCTGCTTTTTGGTTATATTAGAATCACTTTATTTAGTGTATCTGAGGTTACATGTTTTCAGGATTGACAATAGGACAACACTGGGACTTCTGAAATGAATAATACTTGTAGTAATAGTCCTTTAATTTTTTTCTTTTCTGTTAAATTGTTTTATTAAAAAACACTGTCAGGACTTCAACTATGGGTGTAAAAGGTAGTATCCATTTTAGAGCTGAAGTTCCTTTAGTGATTGAGATACTACTGTTGGAGTTCAAGCAAAAGATGACTACAAGCTTGCTGTCAACAGGAAAGTTGCTTATCTACCTGGAAAATCTAGGTGAAGAACTACCCTTAAAAACAAACAGAAAACAACTTTCTTATGAGCTAACGGAAGCAAAAATTATTCCAGCAAATTAAGATATTCTGCTATAAATTAATCAAAGTTTCATTAACATGTTTTGATAATAGGACTCACAAGTCCTCCAAACTAAGATGATCTCATTTCCAAATACAAAGTTGGAGATTTGGCTAGATACGGAAGAACTCACAAAGGTCTTAACATAATTTGAGGGAGGGAGGGGGAGGAACAAAGAATTTGGGGATATTAAATGAAGTCTTTTCTGTTCATATCTTTAACGACTGTGTTGTACATATATAGTGACTTCAACTTACTGCTTTTCTCCAAAGACTGTATGGGGTTTACTTCTAGTTGTAGTAAAGTTGCTCTAAGTAAGACATTGCCTCTGTTTTGGAAGGGGTTGTTTTTCTTCCTACCTTTTCATCTCTTAATTTTTTGCTTGCTTCGTGGTTCTGTGTGCTTGCTTTTACTTCATCACCTCTGTGGATGGCCTTTTAGAGGAATAGAACAAAAAACTTCCTGTGTCTAAGTGAGGGGAACCTACCTTGACTCCCTTCCCTACCTTAAGGACCTCTTGGAAACTGGTACTAATCAGATAAATTCTTCTTGACAGTAACTCTGTTTCCTCTTACTGCCTAAATTAAGAAATAAGCATAGGAGCTGGTTCCAAATAACACCTCTTGACTATTAAAAAAAACCAAACACACACACCCCCCAACTCTGGGTAGTGTTGTTAAGAAGCTTCTGTTTCAAGACAGCGAGCAACCCTGATACTGCTTCTGTTCATGAGGACATACAGGTACTATTCAGCTCAAAATCTGTGTGCTTGAAAGGTTGATTAAGTAGCTTCCTGTTCTGTTAAGGCACATTCTTGTCAGTCCTGAACTGTGCGCATCTCTCTGAAGAACCCTGTTGCAGCTTCTGGTTTAGGTACAGTACAGCTCTTAAGGCCAGCAAAAGTTATTCCTTTGGGGGAGCTAGCAAAACACGTGGACCTTGGTAACCCATGGAGCTGAAGGTGAAGGACTGGTGCGTGAATTCAGGGTAAGAGCAGGACTTTTAGGGTGGTGGAAGGAATGCAGGAACAGGGCTAGAGGCTTAGCGAATAAACAAGCTGATGGAAGTTCTCTTGTGATCTTCCATTATTTAGCATATTATCAGAATCCTTACCGTAACTTGTTCTGTTGTCTATAACAAGTATTTATACTCAAAACCGTAATACTGAGAGGCTGCTTCTTCCAGTCTTCACTCCCTTTTGGATGTAGGTGGAAGACAATATTCTGGATACAATGGTGGAATAGATTAATCATTAATGGGAGTTGACAATGAGCACAGTTCTGAACGTCAACTCTTTTGTTGACATCAGAGCAGTACAGATTGAAATTCTTATACTTCGTGACTTCCATTTATACTAAGGGCAGTTCAGAAAATAGTGTCCTTGGATCTGGGAAATTGGAAAAAGGCCTTAATAGCTCCTTCTGTTCATCCTTGAACAGAAAAGTGTGGCATCTCTGAACTAGCTGCTGATTAAAAGGGACATTGAGAGCACAGTGAGTAAGTTTTCAGACCTACTTTGTTGTCCTAGACTTAGAAAAATTTGAAATCATGATCTTGGCTGCAGTACCCACTTGTTTGTGGCACTGCAGTAAGGAGAAGCAAGCACAGTTTCTTTACCTTGTTTACTGAGTTTTGGAATGCTTTAGAAATAAAGGTGTCTGGACAGCTTGAAATGTTATCTGTACTCCAAGTGCTAATGCTTAAAAGTTTCAACTGCAAGGTAATGTATTCTAGAATAATAAAACCCAGAGATGAATACTGTAATTCCTTGGAGAGAATGTGGTGACTGCAGTCTATTGTTTGTATAGCCTTCAGAAATCCTAGGCAGGTTCCTGATTTGCATACGTCTTCCAAATAATTATATCAGCAATAGATATGCCGTTAAATATTAGCTCTGGTAACAAGTTTAATCATAGTTGTTTAGTATATATGCATGAATAGTCTGTGGCGAAAGAGATTAGACTTTTGAACATCACTGATACCATTTTCTAAAACTTGTCTGATGGTTAAAGATTTATTGCTTTTTCCTGGGCTGCGTGTGAGCTTCTGCAGAGAGGAAGCTTGAATATACAAGAAAATGGCAGATAACCTTTCATCCTTCCCTTTGAGTGAAATGCATAACTATTGTTTAACATGCTTAAAACAAATGAACCACTGAAAATCACCATCTGGCTTCCAGAGACAGCTATTTTTTTGGTGCATCTTTCTGACTTCTTTGGTCAGCTGTTGGGAATGTGCTTCATCCAATGCAGTATCTTCTTTTTGGGGGTTTCTACTCCATACACTGTCCGGTGTCCTGTCCTGGTCCGCCAATACTGACGAGAACCTGTGAAATACAATCCTGCATACTCAGACTGTGTGTTAAGTGTTTTAAAAGTGTGTTGGTCATGTACTGGGTATAAAATATACTGAGTACTAAGCAAGCTGGAATTGTAGCTGTGGAAAGTTTGAAGGGGAACTGGGAGGGGGGAAAAGGTTAGGTGTCAGAAGAATGTTTTGATTCGTGTGGAATTTTTTTTATAGAACTTTTCTTCCTTGTAGTTGCTCAGAAGTGCTTCTGCTGTTGGAGGAAGGATGTCCCTCAGTATCAGTATCTCAGTATCATCTATTGCTTACATCTATTGACAGTATTTGTACTTAAAAGCAAAGAATGTTTTTGCTAAATCTTACCTTGTTAAACTTTTAGTGCATAATTAATTCTATCTAATATTTCTACAGGGATATATTCAGTGGAACTGGTAAATGACAGCTTGTATGAATGGCACGTTAAACTTCTGAAGTAAGTTATTAAAGTCTTTTCATTCATTTTATTATTGCTGCAGAGATTCTTACTTTTGATGAATGAGAATCTCTAGCCAGAGCATATAAAATAGCGTGTGGTGGCTACAATTCTGGTATATAGAAATGTGTACAGAGACTGAACTGTAGTAATTGAGCCGGCAAAAACCCCAAACTCTTTGCACAGCCAACACAGTGTGCAGTACCATAACTTTCATTACTGTTCAATTCTCCTTCCGAAACTACTCCAAAATATGAAACCTTAAATGATGAAATTTTTTGTCTAGAGTTTTTGTCTGGATGGTTTTAGTTTGGTTTTGTTTGTTTTCTATTTCAAGAAAATGCAACTTCTAGTTTCATTCTAGATGCAAGAAGGAACAGAACTGTCTTAGTGTCATTAGTTCTTTATTTCTACAGTTGAGCAGACACATAGGACTGAAACTTTTAGTTATAATTATGACTTATATAATTATATAACTTGTCTTCTCTTACGTACTGCTTTTCACTGTGTGTACCAGATGGTAACTCATCTTGTTGTGTCCATAGTCCAATAACTTTAATTCTGGAGGTATTATATTGAAACTATTCCTGGTAATGGGATCATCTGCCATCGTCCTACAAGATAACCCGTGGGAAGGAAAAGCCTATCCAGACTAGGCTGGGTGGCTGCAAGAGATGAAGGAACTTCCATCAGTTCAGATATGTCATGGTGAATAAGTGTAAGGATGTAAGCTGTTTCAGTACAGTAGTTGACCTGCCCATAGGAATTGTTGTCTTGTCCTAGTGGCAAGACTTCTACGACTATGTCACCAGCTGCTGAAATACAGTTTTGTTTCCTCCTTAGTGTAATCATAGGCATGTGAACGTTTTGAAGCTGAAAATGGCAGGGATGACGTATGTCAGGAAAATCTGTGCCATATTACAGGAGGCCTTGTCTGTCGAGCGCTTCTGTAACAGAGCGTTCAAACCACTGTGCAGTGATTTGAAACCTTTCTTCAAGTGCTGTGAACAGGTCTGATTTTCTGCCTTCGAGAAAGAGAAAATAGGGTGCATGCAGCAAACGGCTTCCAGAATGACTGAGAGAAGATAAGAAGTATTGTGTTTGTTTATCCCAGCAAAAAGTATCTGAAAACAAATGAACTGTGTGCAGACTAGTTGAGGGGGTAAATGTCAGAGAAAAGAGCCCATCTGCCTAAGGAACAGTATTGTTACTAGAACAAGTAACTCTGAACTGGCCTAGTACAGGCTAGGCTGGAAGTGATAGGTTTCTAAGCATTGGGAGATTTTCTTCTGAAACAGCTTCCTGTTGGTAGGATGGGGACAAACTACCCAAGTAATTCTGAAACGAGATCTAAGAAGTTTGTGGTTTCACCTGCAGCAAAGGGTTGGATTTTAATAGCCCATCATTTTGTTTAACATCTGCATTTGGCTTGCTGCAGGCATTTTTTTGCCTAGTCTCTTTTAAAAGCTGCTGGGGCGTCAGAGCCTGGGTGGGATTAACCCTGTACTGTCTGAATTAATGTCTAGGCTGCTCACCACCAGCATTTTGCAACAAACAATTGTTGAAATTCTGCTGAGCAGAAGCTGCTGGCTTTAGTACTTCTGCTGATGCAGATTACTTTTAACAGCTGACACAGAACTGTGATCACATATTCCATAAAGGATTCAGTAACTGCGTACCGAAAACTAGATCACTACAGTCTTCCTGTTAAAATCTTTTTTTTCTTCCCCCGCCTTGGGACATACGTTTCCAGTGAACTGGAGAGAATTAAAATTGCTGTTTTCAAATAAACAGGTTATTTTGTGCTAACTGTGTTCAAATAACACTTGATAGCTTGGGAATGTAGTGCGTTGCAGCAAGCTTTCATGCTGATCTCATGGCAAAGTGTTTACTTTGTAAAGGGAGCAAGAGTTTTCTACGGTTCCCTTCAAATTACAGTTTGTAAACTACAAATATGTAAAGGAGCTCTTTAAGAATAATTACTATTTACAGGTAGTGAAAATATTAACTTCATCCAGGATCTCCCCCCTGCTTCTTTTATAGAGTTGATCCTGATAGCCCACTGCATAGTGATCTTCAGGTCTTAAAAGAAAAAGAAGGTGTAGAATACATTTTACTCAACTTCTCTTTTAAGGTATGTGTCTCTGGGAAGAAATGCTGGGGTTAAGCTTGTTGCTTGCCGTAGCAAGTGACTGAAATGACCCTCAGCTGTTAACTTGGGTAAAGATGGAAGTGTAGCATAAGAAAAAAGCGCAACTTCCCACAGATTGCTTTTTAGCCACTACTGTGGAAACGTGACTTTTACAGAACTGAAAAATGTTACTGCTTTAAATCGGATTTGCGAAATAAGGTTATCGAAATACTTCCTGGTTAGGAAAACACTGTCACAGTATTGTTCTTAACCTGTTTTTTGTTATACTTTTCAGGATAACTTCCCTTTCGATCCTCCCTTTGTGCGAGTGGTATCTCCTGTGCTCACAGGAGGGTAAGTTTGAGTTGCTTTACAGAAATTTTACTTTGTGGTGAAAATGTTACAACTTGAGATTGGTTGACTGGGTTTGCAGGGAACATTTTGAGACTACCATATATGTAGACTTCAAGAAATTTCCCCTAAATGTATATTCATGAGCTGCTGTAGACCTTGAGTTTGGTGAAGAGCTCAAAGAGTGATATGGAGACTTGCTTCTTAAGCTTCATGAACTAATAGGAGCCAAACAGCTGGGTGCATATTCCAGCCAGATGCAATTCCTCTTTGAATTGCTTAGTTTGTGTCTAGCTTTGGAAGACTCTGTGCCTGCCATAATGTTTAAGAGTTGGCCTCTTTGTGCATGGTTAACATCGCTGTTACTTCTCCTGTTGTTCAGAATAGTAGGGTGTTTTGAGTTAGTGCTTTGAAGGGGTCTTGATCCCTGTGTTGCCTTAAACTTGCTGTTCGATCTTAACTGACTCTTTTGCCATTAACGCTGCCATAAAGTTTTTGTCTAAAATCTCCTCAAATGCTAACCCAAAGGTACTAAATTCAATTGACACCATGCTCCAAAAGTCATCTAAAACATGTTTGAAGTGCTGTCTGTGGAGTGGAAACTTGTGTATATCAATGGAGAGAAGATTAAATTCACCTTCCAAGGCTTTTATGCGTCTCCTGCTGACAGGAAATTATACTTGTACGTTTGAAAATGCAGTCTGTGATAGCTGGTGCTGATTCTGATTTGATTTGAATTGCTGTGTGTCTTTTTTGCATTCAAGAAATGGTTAGTGCAGTTAAAGAGTGTTCGTGAGGATTGCTGCTACCGAAAAAGTAAACAAGGAGTGCCAGACACCAGAAAACTCATTTAGATTCTGGTTTTGTTGTACTTGGACTTCTTTGTAGAATGAAAGAAAGAATGGCCCAGAAAGCTTGGATTTCGGTCATCATTTCCCTATGAATGTCGTACAGATTTACATTGTTTGAACATCTTGATCATAGGGGAGACTACATTTTTGGAGTGGTAAATTCTACTCCCTCAGTCCGGGTTTTGCGATGACCAGGTGTGCTGACTGCTGAGTCCCAGTCAGCACAATGCATGATGAAGTCTTACTGAAATTAGAAAGTGGTTTATAGGAAAAGAGCGAGTGAAGATCTGCTTGATCTCATTTGTCTACACCTTTGATTTATAGGTGCACCTACATTGTTTGGAATTGTGTTAAATCTCTGTACAGAAGTGAATTTGGTTTGTTTTTTGTTTTTCTTTATAACTACACATCAGTACTACATATACATAGTGTAGCCATAAAAAGCAACCTTCCTTTTTTCAAGCAACCTTCCTAGCTCGGGCTAGTCTGCACAACTAGTCTTAGCTTTAACTAAGTGTAGTTAGCAAAGGAATTTTTTTGGGGGGTGTGTCTCACAATGCTAATCTTCTTTGCATAAATATAATATGGCTATCTAGTTACAATATATTACTGGTTAAAGGGCATTTCAGCTTTTTGTGAATAAAAAATTTAACAAACTAGCCTGCAAGAGCTTTAAAGTGCTGTGAACAGTTTCATCTTTTTACTAACTGCTGATGTCGGATATATTTTCTTTCACATTTGTTTCTAGGTATGTCCTAGGTGGAGGTGCATTATGCATGGAACTTCTTACTAAACAGGTGAACACAGACTCTGTTATCTGGGTAATAACAAAGCATGCTTTAAAATAATGACAATGGGTGTTTCCCCTGAGTTGAAGAATCACTGTGTGGAATAAGTTACACACTCCAAAGGGAACATGGTGGAATAAACCTCAGTTCCACAAGATTTGCCTTGCTGATCTTGTGTAAGATCATCTTTTCTGCCTTGGATGGCTTACAAGAGGTCTGAGGAAGAGACAAGAAGTGAGAGCGCATCAATTTTGAATCCTCAGAATTTCTGGGAGGAAGCCAGTGTAAAGAGTGAGTTCTGAGGAGCAAGAGGCGTTGTTTTCTTTTCCAGAAGCCTCTGCTGCTGCACGAAGTCAGCTCTGGAGAAGTGAGGAATGCAGAAGATTCTAGGCATAGATGACTCTCGTGTAGACAGAGTGATCGGTTTTCTCTTTAAAACAAGTAAATGAATGAAGTAACTTATTTGCAGGCTCTGGCAGAAACTTTTGTGAACCCTGGAAGGTAAAGCAATGCCAGAGAGAAGCAGTAATTTTCATGGGAGCAAAACTGTCATAGCTCACTCAGTGGTTTCATTAGATAGCAGTCTTTTCTGCTTCTTCCAACAAGAAGTTGTAATTTCTTTTGTGATGTTGCTGAAAATGTGTAAATGGTGTAATAATGGAGCTCTTCTTGATTCTGTCTTGCTGTATTTTGGAAATGTGTGATTCAGCCTTTTCATTTTTCCTACAGGTCCTTAGTACTAATACTGTATATCGCTTTCCAGATTTTCTCTGGAAAATAAAAGCTGTTAACTGAAAACAAGTAGTTAAAACTAAAACTGGAGTGTGGGGGGGAAATCCCAAAGCACACATATCAAAATAGATTTGCAAGGTGAGCACAAGAAGTAAGTACATGTTATATAGAAATATTTCTTTCCTCCTCCAGGGCTGGAGCAGTGCCTATTCAATAGAATCAGTCATCATGCAGATCAATGCCACTTTAGTCAAAGGAAAAGCCAGAGTACATTTTGGAGCCAATAAGGTAAATGTGCTGTGTGTATCAATTACACAAATCACTGTTAGGCTTCCATTTCTTCGCTGAGTTGCATAGAAGATGCTTAATGACAGAATTGTCATTGCAAATACGCATTTTGGTTTATCTTGATGTCTGGTGCATGTACGAGTATTTTACTGGCAGTTAACTATGACTTTGTTAAGAAATGATGAATATAGGAGGAGGATAAAACCTTGGGATGGGCAGGGTGTGTAAGTAGTTGGACTTGTACTATCCCCGTATTGGCAAGGGGGGAAGGGAAGGAGGATTCAGAATTGGGAATCAGGAGGATTTGGAAATTCCGGCTCTGAGAAGGGCTGTAGATGACAGCCCGACTGCCTGGGTTGCGTATGCTGATGTTAGGAAGTTCTCCTCCTTTTGCTGGACTAGACACCTGCAAAGTTTCATGGAGAGGGTGAAAAATAATACCATGCAAATACTTCTGAGCTAGCCATTCAGCATTAATCGAAATCATAATTCAGTTCAAGCGTGCATGCTGGTGATGGACCATAACTTCAAAGACTTTGAAGTACTACATGCTGTTTTCAAAGGATGCTTAAATATTTAAGTCGATGAAATTCTCACTTGGATGCCAGCTTTTAAGTACTGATTCAAGGATAGCGAACTAGGTAAGATGTAAAAGTTTATGACCGCAGTTCTGTCGAACGTGGTAACTGGTCAGCTGAGCACGACGGAGTTACGGTGGGGATTGCCTGAAGCCTGCCCTTCCAGTTGCACACGCTTTTGACGTACCTCAGGTTCTGAACCCTCCAATAGAGGGGCCTTTCCAGCAGCAGGGGTGTACAAATTATTGTCATTATGATGGAGGAGAAACGAGAAGATAAGGGTATTTGTCTTGCAAATCTTGTACTTTAAAGCCAGGAATGTTGTAACATCGTGCATGGTTTTTATTTGTAAGCCCACTGTAGAGTTTCTTCGTAAAACTGTTTTTAAGTTCCACATGTCTAGATACAGGTTTTTTCATGTTAGTTTTTTTCTCCTTTCAGAATCAATATAATCTAGCAAGAGCACAGCAGTCCTATAAGTCACTAGTACAAATACATGAGAAAAATGGTATGTATATTCTTGCGGCTTGGTTCTTGTCTGCACAGCGGCCTGGGAATTGGTATTTGGCCACAGTAAAACTTGAAGTGCCAGAGTGTCTTATGTTGGCTCGGGAAGACCATAAACGGTGTTTCCTTTTCCTCGTCCCGCCCCAGGAAGACAGTAGTGCTTAAAGTAACTTGACTAGCAATCACTGCAACTTGTCCAGCTTACACGAACATAGCCATGTTCCCTGTGTTCCTGCTGTCCTTTGAAAGGTAGTCGACTTCATTTTCAGGCAGTTGATCTAGTAACTTTATTGTTACTGTAGCTTTTCAAGTGTCTTATTTGTTAGTGAAGTACCTGCTGAAAGTTTGCCCCTTTCCCTGAAAGGCTTTGTTTCAATGTGGCAAGACCTTAGTAGTAGTAATCGTTAAGGAAGAGAGAAAGTGGAAAGGAAGACCAGAGACTGAAAAACTACAAAAAGTCCAAGCGAAGTGCCCTGGCTGGAAAACCGCGCAATAGAAATGGGAGACACGTGGTTTGGGTTTGGTTTTGTTTTTTGTTTCCACCCCCCATTTAAAGCCAGTTAATGGTCTCTCAGTTGCATAAAACAAGTATTCAAGTGCTTCAGGTATAATTGCATTCATCGTGCCAAGATGAGAAGACAGCAAATGACCTGAGGCTTTAAAAGGTTTAAGTGGCTTACATGTTATGTAGAAGTAGTCAGCAGAATTGGTTCCCTGGTCTCGTGATGAGGGAGTTAGTCCCAGTTACTACTTCCGTGATGTTCTTTGGTCCGGGCTGGACACAGTCTCCTCTGGGAATTCATGTTGCTGTGAACGTGAGAGCGTATTTCAGTGTGACTGTAGTGAGCACCTCAGTTTCCCTACCTCTAAAATTGAACATAATGCCTTCTCTGCTATTGGGAGGAAGATCAAAGATAACGACTTTAAAATGCTTTCCAATTCTACAATATTTTGATCTTGCCATTAACTGAGTCTTTTGCTTTTTTAGTTTGCCACAAAAGCCAGCATGGCTGTCTGTTTACTTCTAGCTATATGCTAGCCTTGACTACAGTGATTACTGCTGCGTCAGGAGCTGTGCGCAAAGCATTCACAGCATTTATTGCTGCTGCGAAAGGTGTCTTTAACTTATAGCTGCTACCTGTTCTCTGGGACAACATAAATAGGCCCTGTACTCACTGTACAAAAATGTAGAGGATTTTTTACAATAGTGGTGGGGAGAATTCAGATTGGAGATCTGGAGGTGGCTAGAAAAAACTATGCACGCTTGATCAGGTATGATTCAACGGCTAAACATGCCAAATCCTATCAGGAGGCAAGCTACTCAACTGACATTTCTGGGCCCATTCCTGCAGCAGGATTTGCAGAAGTAGGGTAAACCGGTCAAGTGCCTGCGCGTGCCTAACCTCTTCAGTATGCAAGATGGGATTTATGTATAAGTATCCCAGTGTAGTCGTGTTTGTATGTCTGTGCATTAAGTGGCTTGAAGACTTGGGGGTTTTACCTGTGTTCCATTCGGTTTTGTTACAGCAGTGTTCTCCTTCAACAGCTTCCTCTGTTGATGTCCAGCTTGTCCAGCTCGGGATAGCTGCTGCCACAGAAAAACCCCACTCTCGGAAGTACTTAATTTTCACACCCAAATATTGGGTCTGCTCCTGGAATATGCCCCATGCTTTATCTCCCGCTGCAGACCACTAGCGTTCAGGGCACTGGGTCTCACTGAGCTGGCCTGCTCTAAGAGGGAGGGAAGGAGCCAGATTAGGCTTCCGTCTCCCACAAATTCAGGGTAAGATGGCAAGATCGTCCTGACGTAGCAGTGTCGGTACCTAACGTGTTTCTCTCTTCTCCGTAGGCTGGTACACTCCTCCGAAGGAAGATGGCTAACATAGAGGACTGTTGTATACCTGGACCAACATCAACAAAACAAGCTCTTTTTTATGTTTTCCAACACACAGACTCAAGCTATGAGTGCCCCCATAACAGCCGTACTGAAGACTTTAGCTATTAGATAAGTTAGTGGATAATCTGTCAACTGACACGTAAAGTATAAGTTACAGCCTTACCATTCCGCTCTTTGTAGGTATCTGGACGGAGCAGTTTGGGCCTTTACCGTGTTTGTTCTTAGGGATTAAGCATATTTGGGCCAGGCCCTCCCTTCTCCCTTTTTTTTATTTGACAGCGTAAGCTCCCCACAGCAGGCTATCGAGTTACTAAAGATCATTCAGTAGGAGTGAGTTGTTCACACACTTTTGTGTATTTCTTACCTTTTGCAAAATGCAGACTGCAGAGACTTGCGTTGTATTGTTTCATTTAAAGCCAAGAAGTTTAATACGTTGTTTAATACTGTTTTAGGAACTGTCAGGTCTTGCAAATCACAGTAGTTTTTCTGGTCTAAAATGACAGCATTTGTAGTATTTCCAAATTAATGATATAGGAAAAACACATGTATGTTAAGTCATTAAACATTTTTCATGGCTGTATGAGAATATGAACTGTTTCTTGGAAAAGATGCTCTTTGTTTAGGTTATGTTAATTTTTTGTTTCAGTTTGGGTTTTTTTCTTTTTGTTTTCTTTTTTTGTTTGTTCCTGGTTGTTTGGTTTTTTGGTTTTGTTTTTTGGTTTTTTTGTTTGTTTTTTTTTTTTAAGCAGAGCAAGGCTGTGCCAATAAAACCTTGTAACTAGTCACTTCCACTGGGGCATCAGAACTTGCTGGGCTGTTCCTGCTACTCGCTGGCTCAACCTCCTTAACAAGAAGAGCCGCAGTATGAAGCTTGAAGTTATTTAAAATACTAAAAACCTTTTTAGGTGTTCCATTTTATTAACGGGTTGTTGCAATCATTTGTAAACTAATGAACTTATAAAGTGATTGGCACAAATCGAGATGAAAGTCCTTGAATGAAAAATTTTTATATAAAAGCTACAATAAAGTACAAAAACTCGTCATCCGATTCAGAGGCTGAAGAAACATTGCCATGGTCATGACGGTGGTTTTGTTATTGAGAGACTGATGGGAACTGTTCGTTCTTTATTAGGAGATGAATCTGGGTCTGTGTAATTACACTATATTTTATTGCCTTACCTAAATCGATTCTATTTTGGTTGTAGTACTCGTCATTAGGCCTTTGCGCCCCGCTGGGGCTGAGCTAAGGGTGTGTACCATGGATTAAGCACTTTTTAGAAGCGCAGAAGCATGTTTTTGTTATGTTCTTTTAGTTGACTATCAAATTTGTGCTCTTCTCTCTATCAGGCGCCCGCGGGTCCTTGTGCGTTTGCTTCTAGATCCAGTTTTTAGCTCGAGAGAAACGATGGGGGAGAGGTTTGGCACTGCTTCCACTAACGTGTATTGTTTCAAACGTACGGTGGGTGACTTCCCGGCCCTTCTGCTTGCGTGGTCGTACCGGTATCTGTATCAACCCTGGTAGCCAAGCGCTGACGGGA